AGCAGTACATTGAGAGCTACCATGCAGAGTCCCTAGGTTCAATTCCCATACTATACAGGCACCCGTCAACATAGAAACACATTTTTTCAGATTATAGAAATACAATTAAATATAGATTTGAGATTTGAATACTATGTAATCTTTGTGATTGTGCAATTTAATGACCAGAAACCAGAAACTCTTGTGAGTACAAGCTTGTACAAGAGTACGAATTGGAATTTAAAGAAAGGGGTGGAGATTTGAGTCAGAGGTAGAAGGATCATGGGTTTGAAGCTAGTGTGAGCTACAAATAGCCTGGACTTCAAAGAAGACCCTCTTTTATAGCACAGAGTAACAAAACAGTGATACAAAATTTCTGTGGTATTAGATAATATTTTATTACTAAATTTATTAATATTTATTAATATGTAAGTTTATTAATATTAATGAATTGATAAATTAATATCATTAAATTTAATATTTTCTAATATTGATATTAATAGTTATTGATATAATATTAGATAAAATTTGATAATATTTTATTCCTAAAACATTACACAGAGGAGAAGAAAATGACATAAAGTTCGCAATTGTAGATGGTATTGTGATGTAATTATAAACACTTTTGTATAGGGCCTTAAAGACATAAAATAAGAAGGTCAATACAATTCTCAATGAGTAGGCCAATTCCATCATATTTACTCTTTGTTTTTAAGATGGAGACTCATGTACAAGCCCTGGACACCTTCCGAACTATTTACATAGCTGACACTGGTCTTGGGCTCCTTACTCTTCGGCCGTTATTTTCTTAGCGCTGGTACTAAAGATATGGGCCACCACATAACTATACTTGTTAATGACTGGCTGTAACTTTTCCCAATTTTTAAGTGGGTATAAACTTTATATAGAAGGAGAAAAATACAGAGATTTGTGGTATATGCTTCCTTTCTTGGAAAAGAGAATTGCAATGTTGTATGTGTTCACACACCTTATTAAAATAGTGTGTTTCGCCTTGGTTATCCCATATAAGGGGTGTACTTGTTATGTATTTATTTATTATTTATTATATTAATTGATGATTTATTATATATGGCCATGTCTAACTATTAAGCCTACAATAACTCAACCTTTTTTATCTCCCAATCTAGCTTATCGTTCATTATGATTGTTCCCTAAGCCAGTATGGTAATGACATTCCTTGTGACTTCAGCCTTGGTATTTGACACTGCCATGTGTACTACTAATCTATATTGGGGTCAGGATTAGACAGTCTTTGAGAACAGTAGTGGTCGAAGTGATCTGAAATAGTACATGATCCAAACACTATATTTGAATTACATTAAGTTTATATTTAAACATACCTTCAGTTTTCTCAGTCTTCACTAAGAAGGCAAACTCTGAGTTCAACATTCAGCCATGAGAAGCTTCCCACTTTACCAAGTCCCTTAGCTGCTGTGTGGAAGCAATTTTGCCTTCAAGTGCCCAAGCTTTGAAATAGCCAGCACACCACCATCCATTTCAAGTGGAATAGTGCCTCAGCTAGAAATTATAATTCAATTTATTTTTTTCTGAGCCACTTTCCCTGTCTCTTGGACAGTGTTTTTCCATAGGTTAGTGCACAGAGACAATAGGGTATACGGATTGAGAATCACTTGGGTATTTTAGAGGAATCATCTAAGGAAATTCTGATTTTATAATTTTATATTAGCCTTAAAGATTATTTTTAAACAGGATTGCTAAATAAGTCTCATGGAGGGAAAATCTATGCATGGATTATGAAATAGTGGTCTACAACAATTTTTCCTTTCTAAGCTCATATTCTATCGTAAAGCTCATCCTTGCCACTGATTGACTTTCACTCTAGGACTTATCCCATTAGAGCCAACATTTTAGAGACTCTACCTATAAGTTCTTTCTCATAGATTAATATTTGTAAGATTAAAAATAGGGAAAGAACATCGTGTGCCATCTCCCATTGTGTATTTTCAGTGTTTATTCCCTCCCTTGCTGTATAACCAGGGGAGCACGTTCCCTCACATTTAAGTAATTTAGGCACACTTGGAACTTCTTGCTACATTTGACCACGCATTGCTTTTCTTCCTCCTTTATGTAGGCGTATTCACTTTTATCTATCAGACTTCGAATAGTCTTCCTTGACCAGCAAACACTGCCTCCTAGTGGTGTTTTTGCTTCCCTCTTCCACACCCTTAAGGAAATTAGCCAGTGGAGGGCTCTCTTTTGCCTTCTCCTTAGAAAGAAAAAAAACAACTTCTAAATTCCAGTTTGCAAGGGCAATTCAATTAGGGCTTCTAATTTGCTAAAGATAATTTTGATATATAGAACTATTTGACAAATATTTTTAAAAAATTGCTTGACGGGTTCTGCTTCAGAAATAAGTTTACTTGACTTTTCTTGTTTCTCACTTTTTTGAGAGAAGATCTAGTAATTGGGTTTCTTATATTGCAGTCCAGAATAAATGTATGCTGAATAAAAATAGAAAATGAGATATAAAATAAAATAAAATAAAAAATAAAATAAATAAATAAATAATAAAATCTGTATATTAATTTACAGATAAGCAGCTTTTCCCTCTTTTATCTTAATTTAGTTGTAAAATATATTACAAATGATAATGATTAACAATAACATCAACACTAAGTTCAATATACTTTTAAAACATGAAATGTAAAAATGTTTTATTTTATTTAAAGTGAGCATTAAGGTCATTAAGAAGCTTTTTAATAGAAAACAACAAGATTTATAATGACACTAATGAACCTTAAATAAGGGTTCTGTGATTTCCACAGTCCATTTCCTCACTTAAAAGCTGACTATAAGATATGCTTACTGTTGAAGGATAGAAATAGGACCAAACAAATTTTTCATCTTTTTGAAGTTTCAGAGATTAAGTCTGTATAGACAATATGAGTTCCCTAACATATGATATCTTTATCACATTAAACACAGACTTACTTATAATTGCTTACCAGTAACAATTAGCTAACTTGTTTAATTGTTTTAAGAAGTAACCGGGCTCTGCAAGATGGCTCAGCAGGTAAACATGACTGCTGACAAACCTGAAGACTGGAGTTCAATCCTCAGAATGGTGAAAGGAGAGAATGGACTCCTGCAAGATGTCCTCTGACCTCCACATGTGCACCATGGCATACATGAATGTGTCCACACATGTACAGAATGAATGAATGAATGAATGAATGCATCCATCCATACATGTACAGGATGTGCATTTTTATTGGTTGTTGCTCTTGAATTGCTAGTGTGGTAAATATACTTCTCAATGATATCTTTAAAAGAACTGTGCTTAAATAATATAACTGAAAAGCTGATTCTTAGTAATGTCTTTGTTGCTTACCTTTTCCCCATAAATCTTTCAGAGAGTCACAGCAAAAATCATATACTAGACAGTAAATATTCCCAAATTTTAAAGCTGTCATTTAAATGACATTTTTATTTTGAATAGGAAGATATGCCTTGATCTACTTGCTTATAATCAACACTTCACTGTGTGATTATTTTAATAAAAAATTCTGGATTGCTGCCTTTGACAATCGTATTGTCAATTCTGTGGAAACATCCAGATTTTAGGATGAGAGAATCTCATATTTTCCCTATAAAATATTAGAGCTCAGAAATAACTGACCATAATGCCTTCATTTTTATACATGGTTTAATAGAATTTTTTAAGAAGGACTCTACTTAATCTAAGGACATTGTTACCTATTCACAGACGGTGTTTACAGGTTGCCTTTTGTTATGTAAATTCTAAAGGAACACTGCAGATTGGAATTTTTTTCAAGAAAACTGATAATTTTTGTTCTAATTTTTGTAGGATCCAACTGGAATATTCTCACTTGATAAAATCATTGGTTTTGGTACTTATGGAAGAATCTATTTGGTAAGTAGATCTAGGTTATTTATTCATGCTTAATTTTATAATAACAGCAGCAATTGTGAGTCAAATCTCAACAAAGCAAATAAGATACTGTTAAATGCAATGCATCAATCTGAGAGGTGAATCATGATAAAATATATCATTGATATTTTAAATTTATTGTTTATTAATGCAGAAGAAAAGCATTATGAAGTCTGCTGAACTAATGAAAATAAGATGTAAAATACATAGCAAAAATTATATTCTTTAATTGAAAGGAGAAGAAAATAGAATGTACCATAATAATAATGTCACTTACTTTACAATACATATCAATATTTTAGTTGTCCACATTGAAATTTAAGTTGAATATTTTATTATTGATAGTAAAGTTCATGATTTTCCATTTTAGTGCACATGATTCTATAAATGTTTAAAGTTTGCTGAAAATTTCTCAAGAAATGATACATTTGTTTAATAATTATATATTAAACATTAAGGATATCTCAGGAACTGTGATAATCATTTGGGATGAGAATCATTTGGAATGAGCTAAAAATTGAACCAAATATGGTTCCTACTTTTCTGGGGGTTATAATATTGGAATATTACATTAAATGTGTATATATATATGGGCTTGTTTGAAAGCCAATATATGTTATATAAGTAAACACACAACCATATCATTCAACTCTGAGAAAATTCATAGCAATATAGATGAATTAAACATGGAAGTTTATTTAGATGAGACGATCATTGTTGACCTACTTCCTGGAAAGTTAAAAACTGATATCAGGGGGATATATTAAATGTTGTGGAGGATATTGATACATTTTAGGGAGTATGACTGTATTAAGGTCTGGCATGCATTTAATCAAGCCTACTTCTTGTACTCTAAAATATGATAAGCTGCTTTCTTCTATCTTGTAATATTATAAAATATAAGTTTCTATACAAGGAAGTAGTTCTTACTCCAAGGCCTTTTCTTTAAAACCAACATCACTGTCCCTAGGCTACTTGTTATTGCCCGCTGATGACAGGTCATGTTTATACTGAAAGTGTAGCAATGCCCTGATGTAGGCCTAAAGGAAAAAATCTTTGTTATTCAGACAAGGGTACCCTCTATCAGGACTTGTCTGGAGCAACATCTTCCCAGTAAAGCGTCTTCTCTAATGTATCTGCCAACACCGGTGTAAAATATGCTTTTAAAATTTCATATCAAAGCACAGTCCACATAGCAGCAATAGCAATGTAGGTGTGCCCTAGGTGCTGAAAAAAAGCTTACTGAGTACAGGGAGCACAGAGAGAGAGTGAGTGACCATAAAAAGGACAAACATTCCTTTCCTTCAAATAATTTTGATCTTACACATAAGCAGAATTGATTAGCTACAAACTAATGATGGCACAGAGCTTATCTGTGTTTTATTTCTTATTTGTTAACATTCTCTGTTTTGCCACTTGATCTGATGATAAAGCACCTTATATATGGGTACGAAAATACCATTTTATAACAGACACACTTAGAATATGTGTATAGTCTACAAATACTTCAATACCTGAGTTGGTGTGTATAAATATATATGTATGTATAATTATTCTAAAAAGTATAACGCCTTCTCCATCACCAAGTGGAAATAAGGTAAGAATTAAACAGTCACCAGAAGGGTGATGTCCTTGCCAGAAGAAAAAAGAAGAAAAAGGTATGTCATGCATTTATTTATTTTTAATTTATCTTTTTAATAAACACTGGCTCTAGTATTTAATACATTTCACTCACAATGAAGATTCAAGTATAGATTTTATGTTAGTGTAAGTCAATGGATGGCTTTACATTTAGTTGCGTGATATACTAGGTGATATTAAATTTTGTTTTTACATAACCTGTAGTTGTGTTTTAACTTTATATTGAATACACTCATTGTTTCTATATTCACTTTTGGGGGCAGCTTGCATTTTCAACTACCTAGACTGAATAAAATAAATTCGTTTTATATCAACTTTTACTTTAGCCATTTCTAGAATTTTCTTTTATGAAGATGTAATTTTATATCTGGTAAGAAGAGCTTACGCCTGAAGACCTTCATGTTCCTTGTAGTTTAAGGCTTCTACTAGTAAAATGCATGACTTCTCTGTTACTTCTGAAAGATATTTACAAGCTTCTCTGTTACTTCTGAAAGATATTACAGATATTGATATTTTCTGTTTTTTTCCTCTCAACAATATACATATATTACATAGTTTCTGAAGTTGAATGTGTGTGTGTGTGTGTGTGTGTATACACTTGCATGTGTGTGTGTACATTTGCATGTGTGCATGTGTGTGTGTGTGTGTATGTGTGTGCATGTGTGGCAGTATGTGTGTGTGTATTTCAGAGATGCCCCTTCTTTCTTTCTTGCCCCACCCCAGTAGTATTACTTCTTACTAAGTGCTTGTTAACCCAGTGCTGAGGGTAGGGGGTGGGGGAGTTCTCTACTTTTCTACATCAGCCTTACTCTTAGCAGACTCTTTCTCTGCCTCAGACATTTTCCACATCATTTGAGTTCCAAACTAGTTTTGGCTTCTCACCATAGAGGACTGCAATTTTTACCTTTTTCTCATTGCAATGGATCTTTATCTGTACTCAGGAATGAATAGAGTCATCTGCCTTTTATCCGGGTAGAGGCTTTATTCCTTAGGTATAAAGGAATCGATGTACTTTCTAGTGCTTCTCATTGTGGTGGTGTCTCTTCAGTTGCTCTGTGCCATGAGTACACATAGAGATGCCTGTATGGCTGTTCCCCAAGACTTTTGCACTCTCATGCAAATTAATGCCTGGCTTTTTGTAAATCACTTAAAATTATATAATTTCTTCATGTGTGCAAAATATGTATGTCTATTCCCATTGTGGCCATATGTGAGGCCATGCTCAGGACTAATTTCTCCTTGCAGGTGGTACCTTTCTTCATCCTTAAGGCTTGTTAGTGGCTTTGAAACTTCTCTCTAGATTCAAAAGTGTGACTTTGTGTATCATTTAGCTTTTTCTTGCTATTAGACTAGGAGTGGTTCTCTTTCTTGATTTCATATCCTCATCCAAAGTGAGAAGTCTATGTATATTTCTTTTAAATGAGTGTTTGTGAAACAACCATTCATTATAGGGTAGGATATATCAGCTTCCAAGAATTTTATATGAACCTATTCAGATTCAGAGATAGAAAATGCTTTCCACTGTCAGAGTTTTCTAAGGAAAAGCTCATTGCAGGATATTGATGACTAAAGCTCTATGTACAACATAAAGATTTCTCTGTCATTCATGGCCCATTTTATTATAGCACAAATTAACTTCCTTTTTTAAAAAAATGTATATTAAAATTACTCCCATAGAAAACAACATAGAGTAAGTTGACATTAATTTTAAACTGAGCATCCTTTTGTATCCTAATAATTCTACCTTTAGAAGTTCATGATAAATACTCCAGATTAGAAGTATAGAGACACTCATTGCAGTATAAAATTAGTATATCTTGGTGAGGACATAGCTCCTTTAAACCAGGCAGACCTAATTTGGTACTTAGAGCTATGACCTTGAATCAGTTATTTTACCTCTGACTATATATATTATTTTTGGTTATAAGATAGAATTTACCATACTTACCTTGTAAGTTTTGAAGAAACTCTATAAAAATAGTATTTATAAAATGTTTGACATAGAGGAGGTTTTTTAAAGACATCTATTACTGTTATTATTTTTAGTATTATTTACACAAACAAATGAACTAACACTGGAATTGATATGTTTTTTAAAAAAGAAGTTACCTTATACTTGGTATTTTGCTATTTTGTAAAGCAGTATTTGTTAAAGGGACAGAAGTATACTCAGTGTGCTAAATGATATATTATTATTCTTACATCATCATTATAGTTATGCCTAAATATGCAGACGAGAAATATTTAACTAAATTATTAGAATAGTAAGATGATTCTCTAGTCCATAGTTTTTGCTAGATTGTCATTCCAGTCTGTGATGTTATAAAAACATGTCTGAGTCTTACATAGATATATAAGTCTATTATATATTAAACATTGCATAACTAACCTATACAACAAAATGGAGATAGGATACCATTCAAAGTTAATGTGAGAGTGACTCACAGAGCCCTTCGCTTTTTCAGTGCTGCCAACCACATCCCCTGCTGTTGTTTGTTTTGGTTAAAGTCTCTCCGATGTCTTCCAGCTTGGTTCCAAGGTCTCCTTCTCTGGCAGGTTTCCAGCTGTCTGCTGAGGTCTGTGCACATTAAAATAAAGACTGAGTCTCACTCTACCTTCTAAGTCTTTTTCCCTTCCTTCTTCTTATTAAACACCTATCATCTTCCCACCCTATCCCCCTTCCTTGCCACCACAGACTTGACTTGAAATTCTGGGCTTCTTTTTCCTTCCTCATTCTTGGAGAGTACTGCTCTTCCATTTTCTCCTAAGTAGGGTTAGAAATGGTAGATTTCGCTTTACCTTTAACTACTAGGCTCATAGCTTGTGATTAATAATTTCAATTGGAAGAATACTTAATATTGGACCATGGAATTATATAGGTGCAAAAAAGAAAATGGGTTATGGACTAGTAAGTTGGCTTAGTGGTTACAGAAGCTGTCAGTATAAGCCTGATGACCTGATGAACTGAGTTCAATCAACAGAGCCCTTATGAAGGTAGGAGAGAATGAATCTACAAAGGTGTTCTCCACTCTTCATATCTACACCATGGTACATGAATGATGCCCCATCCTAGAGAGAGAGGGGGGGCAGAGAGAGAGGGAAGAGGAAGAGAGGGAGGGAGGGAGGGAAGGAGGAGGGGGAGAGAGAGAGAGAGAGAGAGAGAGAGAGAGAGAGAGAGAGAGAGAGAATATAATAGCAGCAAATCAGTGTTTCAAAAAATAGATTACAACTCATTCTTCAACAACACAAGCTAAAACTCAAATTTTTCAAGGAGAAATGTACACAGAAGTACTATAGTAATATCATGAAATATGAAGTAAGTGACTGAGATTCTTTAGAAA